TGCGCTATGAAGTGAGCCGGGATGTCGAGGCCCAGGGCCTGTGCCCCTACAGCCCCGCCCACAACAGCACCTACGCCTTTGCCGACGGCCAGTTGTACAGCGCCACAGTGGCGGACTTTTCCGGTGGAGACCCTCTCATCTATCGTGAGAATCTCCGCACGGAGCAGTATGATCTCAAGCAACTCAACCAGCCCGACTTTGTGGGGGCTATCGAGAAGAATGGCTTTGTTCTATTCTTCTTTAGGGAGCTCTCCATGGAGTTTATGAACTTCGGCAAGGCGGTCTACTCCCGGGTGGCCAGAGTGTGCAAGAACGACAAGGGAGGTCCCTACAATCACGGCAAGAGCTGGACCACCTTCCTGAAAGCTCGCCTCAACTGCTCCGTGCCGGGAGACTTTCCCTTCTACTTCGATGAAATCCGTAAGTGAACTTTTAAAATAAAATAGATCTTCGAACATTAATTGATTTCTCTCTTAATTTACAGAGGCCATCAGTCCGGTTGTAGAAAGTGGGTCCAAGTCTCTGGTGTATGCAGTTTTCACCACATCTGTGAACGCTATTCCTGGATCGGCAGTATGTGCCTTCGATGTTGACGATATACTGGCTGCCTTTGAAGGGGACTTCAAGTCCCAGAAGGATTCGCAATCGCATTGGCTGCCGGTGGAGCGAGAGCAAGTGCCAAAGCCGAGGCCTGGACAATGCGTGGAGGACTCGCGAACGGTGAGCAGCATTGCTGTGAACTTCATCAAGACGCATCCCCTTATGGAGAGTGCTGTGCCGGCAGTGCACGGCCGTCCTCTGCTGACCAAGGTGAACCTGCACCACCGCCTGACAGCCATAGCAGTGGATCCCCAAATCAGATCCCTGAGTGGCACATACTACGATGTTATCTACAGCGGCACCGATGACGGCAAGGTAACCAAGTTCATAAATATGCTGACCACCCACCCGAACTCGACCGTGGATCGTCTAAAAACTGTGGTCATATCGGAGATGCAAGTCCTTCCTCTGGGCACTCCTGTTCGCGACCTGGTAATCTCCTCCAAGAAGAACTCTCTGGTGGTTGTCAGTGACGGCAGCTTGGTTAGCGTCCCTCTGCACCACTGCACCCTCATCGTGGACTGCTTGGGCTGCCTTAGCCTCCAGGATCCCATATGCGCCTGGGATTTGCAGACCCACGAATGCAAGAACCTGGCTAGCAGCCAACACAAGTTCGGCACCAAGACGTACCTGCAGAGCCTAAACACCACCAAGAAAGCGGCGGCTTCTCTGTGCCCACACATTCCAAGTGCAGAGACAGTGAGTTTCGTGACAATGGCTCCACCACCGACGGAGGAGCAGAAACTTTTGTACTCCAATGTGGGAGCCGCGGCAGGTAATCAGCCGAGCTTGGAGCAGCTGCCATCTGGAGGGGATGACTTTGGCCTCAACAAGATAACTCTCACCTCTATGGATCCTGATGATATTATGCCCAATCTTAACGGTTTGTGTTTTCTTTATTTAAACTGGAAAGTTCCCAATTATAATCATTGCTTTTCTTTTAATAGATCCTCAAAAATCAACAGCTAGCGTGGATGAAATCAGACATGCTTCCGGTAACAGCTACTTGCTCATCACATTTGGCATTTTAACCACCTTCCTGGTGGGCAGCTTTGTGGGCGTCATATGTGTCAAGGCAAAGTCCCATATGATGGATTCCCAAATGGATGAAAGTCATCGTAACCACTTCGGCAAACCAATGTAAGTCCAAGATTTGTAAGACAATTGTATCATTATCTAATTAATTTAATTAACAGACAATTCAAACATCAAAACACTGGCAAAGACATAAACCTGTTAATGGGTTCCAATCCATACACGACCACTCAGAAAACTCCAAACCTCGATCTTGAAAAGGATCGGAGTCACGAGTGCAAGAACTCAACGGAACATTTGGAAAAGGAGCTGCCGTGCAAGACGTCAACGCTGACGAAAGTGAAACGCACGTACATCTAGTGCTGGTGCAATGGCGGCCAAATGCAAAATTAGTCGAATTTCTATAATCTAAAACATATTTTCGTTGTTTATGTTGCTGTTAGTTGTAGTAACCCCCCACCCATCCCGCGAAGAAAACATTCAACAGTTGTGCACGCGTTTGAAACGCGCTTGAAATGGCACCGCAGTTGTAATTTTTTTTTAATCATAGAATGTATCGTACAATTTAATTTGGTGTATAATTTGTATAAGTTTAGATTACTTTGGTAAAAATTTAGTTAAATTTACTGACAAAACATTGGCTGCCACAGTCGGAGCAAGTTGAAGCATTCCATATAAGCCCGATCCCGACCTAGAACTGAGTCGAAAACTGGAATGCAGCTCCAATGGTTAGGCAGCCGAAATGTGTCGCCCCGTATGTGTATTCTGAATGTATATTCTATAAGTGCAAATATTAGAGGTGTACAAATTTACACGCATATCATACATACCGATACGAACCCGAACAGCTTGGTCGCACGATCCCAGACCCACAGCTCGAATTATTTCTCGAAATTCAATCGAATATTCTGCAAGTATTTTGTTAGACTGAATTAATTTTTCTATATATGAGTTTGATTGTGGAGAACTAACAGAATGCGAACGACATAGGCTTGGAAGCTCTATGCCTTGTGGCTAACAAAAGCGTAAAATTGTATCTAACATAAGCTCAATAAGGAATTGAATATAGTAATGTAATTAATAGTACGAATTAGGCTAAGCAGCGAACAAAACTTCTATGAGGCTGTTTATATGAACTGACGCGACAGCCCCAACATCGTCTTGATAAAAACACGCACAACAACACAAAAATAAAACACGATAAACAACAGCAAGCCTTATGAATAGTATAAAACAGTTTAGGCCTTAAATGTACACTTATATGCTTGACATGCAAAATAATGAGCTTGGCACAGAAAGTAAATCAGCATTTTATAATTTTTATGTTTACTCTTAAGCTGTTGTCCGTCCCACTGAAGAATTTGCTTAATACAATGTACAATGGCAATTTTATTTTTAAAACATGAGAAATGCATTTTTCATCGTAATTAATATATATTTTTGTATGCATGTCTAAGACTAATGTCTAAACTTAGAGTTAAGTCTTTATAACCGAAAGGCTTGAAAAAGCTACAGATAAAATATTTTAAAAATTTACAAAACAAAAAAAAAAAAAAAGATAAAAATAATATAAAGAAAAAAATTCTCATATTGTGATAGATTTTATTGAAATTTTTAAAATGAAGAAAATGATAGGCCTTTTGGTTGAAAAACAATGATATATGTGACATGAAAGTCTTATTGCATGCATAATATTTGGTAGGAGAGGGTCTTCCTTTGACTGGAAGATTAAAAATAGAGAAAGCCCCAATATGGAGAATAGTTTTTATACTCATGTATGTCTGATACTGTCTATATTGTTGTATACATCCAATAAGCAATTTAAAAATCTAATAAAGTCGTCATTTTTTCATAAATATTTTATTGTATATTTTATTTAGAATTTAAAAGCATAGGTAAAGTAAACTTGTTGAATAGATTTATTCAACTGGAGTCTTGAGATTTTAAATTTAGCGGGCACCCAACCCAATAGGCGACAACCCTAGGTGCAACATACCCAACTCTTGGTATTATTTTGAATACACTAGATAGGTCACACTTTCCCTAAAGTCTCGCACATTCGGCGTTGCACATTTTTTCCGTTTAATTAAACGCTCAAGAAGTACTACCACAATTATATAACAACATGAACAGCCTGAGGACAGCAACCTTGCGATTCGCTAACTTGGCCAGCTCCGCGACGGGAGCCCTGGGCAAGCGCGACTTCACCCGGAGCCTGTGGCACATGACGAAAAAGCCGGCGGCCGGATGCAATGATCATGTAACCGTGTTGAACGTGCACAAGCCCAGCATTAACTGCACGTGTGGCTGCAATATCCACACAAAATGTGAGTTTTTCACTCAAAAAATTCATGTTTTATCCAGCGGAACATGCCGCATCTTACATAACCTCAAAAAAGCGGGATAGAAATTGAATCCAAAACATTGAAATCCGAATCCTATGTTTATTTTCAGGTGAGCGAGAGCTAGTCGAGTTCCTCACGGAGGAGATCGTGGCCGAGCGCAAGGTTCAGAAGGGCAAGACTGTGCCCAGCACCCTTGATGGATTCAGCGTCAAGCTGAACGGAGCCGATGTCGAACTCAGCAAACAGACGGACAAGGAAAAGGTGGTAATCAGCTTTAATGTCAATCACTCTGTGGATAGCGAGGAGGAGCCAGAAATTAATCCGAACGCCGACAAACCAGACCTGGGCGAGATGCGCAGCAAGCCCCAATTCGAGGTGGACATCATCAAGGGTAGCTCCACACTTAGCTTCACCTGCTCCTACCTCCAAGGAGAAGCACAGGAGGGAGAATACAGTATGTACAAAACTCGAATGTTTAATCTTCAAATTCTGAACTTCGCCTATTTTTTCTAGACGATGTGTTCTCCATTGACGAAATGGCTATTTACGAAGGCGAGTGGAATGATAAGGTCTATGCTGTTGCTGGCGACGTGCTTGACGGTTACTTGTACGACTTGCTGATCAATCTACTGGAGGAGAAGGGCATCAGCCAGGACTTTGCGGAGAAGTTGTCAGATTTGGCCACCGCCCATGAGCACACTTCCTACATTGCTCTTTTGGAAAAGCTCTCAAAGTTCACCACCGGGGCCAAGTAAACGCCCCATCAGGAAGCGTTCATCGCTCCCAACCTAATCTTAATGCAAAAAGTTGAATAGGTTTTTAAGTTTCTACTGTGTACGCCACAGCTTCTCCACTAAAAACAATTTTGATTAATCGTGTTTTTGGCTTCTCTGTGGTCGTAATCTTAGTTTTTAAGCCAGCAAACATTTATTCGTGTTTCGGAATAGGAGGAGCATCAAATGGCAATTTTATACCCAGTTCGGCATTGGCTCCAAGTTTGATTTTTAAAAATATAGACAGTTACACAAAAACCCAGCAATTTATTAATTTTTTACAGGTTTTCAGAATGATTCCTTTATGATTAAAATGGTCTTGAGTAAGGCCTTGGCTCGTAGTCCCCTGGTCGGTGTCCTGGCCATTCCTCGTGGTTCTTGCAAGCGGCGCAGATGACCAAAGCTAGCATCACAAGCAGAGGGAGAAGCTGCATCTTACTTCTTGAAGGTTTAACTTTTGAGTGTGCGGAAGCATCTGCTTGGGATGCAATTTATAGGAGAGGGTTCATTGTATTGATTACTAAAAGTTTTTCCCCAATTGGGAAGTCCGGAATCTTTGTTCAAGGTAGGGATTCACTTAAAGAGATAACAAAAGACAAAGATTTTATACGATCTTACGGTTCGTTTTTTAAAAAGCACCTTGGGTTGGTTGATAAGAAGTCTTTTAGTATATATATTTACACATTTTATTGCAATCAAGAATATAACAGTTTTTTAAAATCTCTACTTGAACTTAAGATGAACATATACTATATAATTTAAGTTGTATATTTCTGGTTATGTATAGGAATCATATAACTTAGCAAAAGCAGCTTCTGGTACTTGCATTGCTGAACTTTATGACCTTTATACGGTTCTTAACCAGATCCTCGCCTTTGGTGACTGGTGAGAGTCTGGTGTTCCGCATTCTGGCCTATTGTCGGATTGGAGCCGTAGCCGGAATTTGTCATTGCTGGTCAACTCTTGCTCTGCTTTCCTCCGGAACTGCTGGAGTTTTCGTACTCCGAAGATGTGGTGAATTCCGTTTCGATTTCCCGTAACTCGATCTTCTGTTCCTTCATCGCGCGCTGTTGGTCAAAGGTTGGATTGATTACTCCGGCCCCAAATACGATGATGAAACTCTGTTTTTACCTTCACGCACTCCTGATATACCCGGAAAATAGGCGCACACGACGAGTCGTCTGTCTGACCCTTGAGGAATCGCTCCGAGAACCAGCTATTAAAGCAGGCATCGTACTGTTTCTTTAGCTCGTTGCAGTCCTCTCCAATGCTATTCATTCTGAGATTTTGAGTTATAATTTTTGTTAAATAATAAGCTGCCGAAAAATGTGAGCAAGTTCTGATAAAAACTTTATTTGTAAGGTCACACTAGGTTTTTCTAGAGATGGGAGGAAGAAATACGGGAAAATATATTTTTTCCCCTGGCTTAAAAGGTCTTACTAAAATAACTGAATTTTAGTTCAAAATTTTCTATCTCTTCGAATTTTATTAAATAATAAATTACACTTTTCACCGATTAAGTAAAAGTCAAAATTTCCGTTCTTTTAAGTTTTTTTTTAATTTTTTAGGACAGATACAAAAATGCAGTTTTCAATATTTTCAATTAATGAGCGAATAAACAAATTCAATTTTGACTTGGCTTAAGAAACAGGCAACGTAAGTGGATGATGGAACCAGACCTCCGATCCAGCCAGGAACCGAATCGGAGGTCTGACTACACGTAACCCCAGTAGTTGTCCATGGCCTTCCCATTTTTAATAGTCGAAGTGCTACAAGTTTGTTCTGATTATTTGTTGTTTTGTTGATGTTCAAGCTAACTCTCGCTGGAGAGGATCAGGGCGGCAGCAGGATGATGGTCTGGCGTCTACTCCTCGTCGATGGTCTGCACTTGTTGTTGCTGCTGCTGTTGATGCTTACGGCCTCGTTGGTTGCGCTGGCCACTGATACGCTTAATATTACGGATCTGACCTCCCCAGTTACCGTCCTGGTTCCGGTTATATCCGCGATCGCCTCGGTTGCCCATGTTGCCGCGCTGGAAGAAGTTGCCCTGCTTCATGTCGAACACCTTCTCGTTGACATCCACCAGGTTGGTGACCTTGTCCACGAACTGCATGGCCAAGGCTTGTAGGCGCGAGGGCTCCGAGCGGTGCATGACGACAGTCTCGGATGGGTCGTCCAGGCTGGCCATCAACTCCTCGTTAATGATCATCTTGCTGATGATCGAGTGCACCTTCTGCACGGGCAGCTCGTACATCTGGGCCAGCGAGGGTATGCTAATGGAGGTGTAGACGTTGGAGTAGGTGAACAAATAGGTGCGCAGCGACTCCTCCTTAATGAATTTGGTCAGCATTTCACGCACACGGTCCGACTCGTAGAACAGGTCCCACACCTTGGTGTTCATCTTCTTGTTGACGATAAAGTTGGCGCAGGCCTGCCAGTTTCCGCACCTCATAGCCTTGGCAGCAGCCACCACATGCTCGCGCATCGACTCAGGCGGACCAACCAGGGACTGACGTTCGGAAGACCGCAGCTGCTGGTAGAAGGTCTTGCTGATCATACGGCGGCGAGCGTCAAATTCATGGGCAGCGATGTAAGGAATCTCCAAAAGCATGGCGGACACCAGGTACACGCACTCGAGCAACTCCAGGTTGATGTGCATGTGGAATGGCATCTGGCGCTGCTTTTCGATTTTCTCCTGCTCGGCGGAGCGTTCGTGCTGGCGCTGCGGCAGCAGTCCTTGAGCGAGAAGCTCCTTCGGTTTGCCGGTAACCATCAAATCCACCAGACAATGATGCGCATCCTTGATGTTCTCTTGGCGGAAAGCGCACAGACCCAGGTTGGCCATCATGCGATTGTACAGAATGCGGGTGGCGGGATCTGCGGCATCAATGTTGTCCTGCAGGTGGGACATTAATACAAGATCTCGCGCTTGGAACCAGTTGTCGTGCATGGCGTGGTGGTAGATGTGCGCCAGGATGGCTCTCGTACGGATGCGGTCAGTGTCGTCCTTGGCGTAGATGAACTTGCACAAGCGATCCATCACGTCAACAGAGGTTTGAGTGTTCTGGGGAATCTCTCCGCGCTTCTTCTTAAGGACCTCCGGATCGAACTTGTAGTACAAATGCTCGATCTTGCGCAGGTAGATGCGACAACGTTCGTTGTTATTGCCATCGTTCTCATAGTACTGCAGAACCAGCTCAATGGTCTTGACCACGTTTACTTCGTCTTTCAAACGGGACACGTAGTCATTCGAATGTGGGTCACACTCCTTCAACAACTTCGTGAACTCATCATCCAAACGCTCCACGGCAGCCAAAGGGCATCCGCGTACGTAAAAAGGCGATGTGGCCAGTTCCTCGTGCTCCTCGGCAACGCTCTCGCTCAGGTGGATGTCGCGATTATCTAGCAGGAGCTTCAACATGCTCTGCATTACTTCCAGAAGCAGGGCCCAGTGCTCCAGCTTCATGGGCTCAGAAATTTTCTGGTTGTAATCGAAAATGGCTGAGATGATGTTGAAGTGGATCTTCACGGAGACGGCGGTTCCCAGATTATGCTGATCGGAAATATCGCGCAGCTCAAACAACAGATCGATCTGAAGGCGACGATCGGTACGCTTCTTGCCACGGGCAGACATAATCTCCACCAGCTTGGCAAGCACAAGGGGAATGTCGATTTCGGCGTCTTTCTCAAACATTTTCGGCTTCTCCACGACATGTCCCTTGACCACGGTCTCCCACTCACCATCTTCATCGTCCTCTGGGCGCTTGCGGATCTTGATCTTCTGCTCCTTACGCTTATCCTTGCGCTTATCATCGTCCTTGTCCTCCTTCTCAGTGGTGCGCTTCAAGAAGCGTTCACGCATATTCTGGTATTGGTTCTCGTCGTCGGATGACTCAGTTTCAGTCTCCGAATCAGAATCCCAGTCGATGGAGTCATCAGAATCATCGTCATCGGCAGGTGCAGCCTTGGCAGGGACAGTCTTGGCCACTTTTGGAGCGGCTTCAGCTGGTTCTCGCTTAACGGGGGCGTCGCTATCGTCGCCAGCATCACCGCCGTCGCTGTCGTGGACCGCCTCCTCATCCTCAGCTTCGCTCTCCTGGTCGGGTGCCTCGCGGAAGCGAGAAAGGTCGTCTTCGAAGTCCTTGATGTACTTACGCACCTTTTGGCGCAGTGTTCCCAGCGACTTGGAGTTGTTCTTCGATAGGTTTTTCCTGCCTTCGCGGTCCTCCCACACTTCATTGATGAAGTCCTCCAGCTCGGCAAGGCACCGGATATAAAACCGGGGGGTGATGCCGTTCTCCTCCTTGGAAATTACAGGAAGAGCCTTTGTGTAGGCTTTCGTTAAATCTTCGAAGCTGGAGAGCGTATTGGGGATATCCTTGATCTTCTTGTGGTTGCGGATGGTCTTGATAATGTTGGTGAGGTTCTCGTAGCGCTTCTCCTTGGTGGAGCGCACCACACGCTTGACCTCCTCTTCATCGTCACTGAATTGCTGTGGATAAAAACAAATAATAAGTCGAATGTCTCAAGGGAGCCTCACACATGGGCGGTGGTACTCACGAAGGCGCTGGCTTTGTTGAAGTTGGTCGCTTGGACCTCCTCCTCACTGGACTCGGACTCCGAGTCGGACCCGTTGGCAAAGAAACGCGACATGTTCGTGGACTATCTACACGGCTGTTTGTCTGCACCTGGAATAACAAATTCTAATTAAATATTTCAGGCCACATAATTTCTCCGGCGGTTGAGGTTATGTTTGAGCGGCCAACATGGCGTTTTGCAAAATGTTTTTGCATTGTTTTTTACACTCAGTCATTGAATTTTTTAACCAAACCTTAGTCAAACATACCCTGGGTGGATACTTTAAACTGTTTACCTATTGCCAGGGCACAATATTTCACAATAACTGTCTTTTTTACTTACTTTTTTTAACGATGTCGAATCAAAAAGAGAGGCTTAGAGATGGGAGCCACATTGGTATGAATATCGATATATGTATCGATTGATTTATACAATTATTTAGAGAATTTCCAACACTCTAACCAACACAGTTTTTTTGTATCGGTTACAAATTCAATAATATTCGATAAGTTTCATAAAAGGGCGCGACGTTTAAATATTTATTGTATAATTTAAAATTAAAGTCATACTTGAGAATATGTGACGACTTGAGTGAATTAATAATGTATTGTATATATGTATTGTCAATACTCGATTATTCGATAGCTTGTTTGAAAAGCGCTATATTTAAAATCGTACTGACTGAGCATGCGTGCTGCTGGTCTTACAACCGGCATTTTAGCCACCCACTTTGGCGCCCCGTCCAATCTTCGGATCAATTGTATGTGTGTGAGTGCTTCTGGCCCGGCCAACATGCAGTCAGCCAACGAGGCAAAACCAAACGTTTTCGCGCGCGCAAACCAGTCGCATGCGTTCTCCTCCGTTCCGTCGGACAGTTCAAGTTCAAAAACGGAATTTCTGGATGTGCTCTGTGATGTGCCGGCGTTGATGCCAATATCCGGCAATAGCGTTTCGAGTGTTTTCGCTTGCTAAAAAGAATTCAATAAATTCATTCAAGTTCTTCCCGCCAGTGTTCTGTGTGTATTTTCCGCGATATAAACAAAATTAGCCAAGCAAGTGTCTTGTGTTGTCTTGTTTTGGGGCAGTGAGTATCGTGGCATGTGCTCTTCTCGTTAACCGGTGGTGTATCCTGTTTAAGTGGCATCACTTCCCATCCCAAAACATTAATTTGGGGGCCGAAATGAAGTGGCCGCGTGTGGGGCCTGGAATCGCATAAAAACACGGAAACACGGAAAACACTTTAACGCAAATGTAAGCATAATAAATAATAATTGCAGATTGATGTAAATTTGTTTATCGGCGGTGTCGGAAATGGTAAATTACAAATTTATCAGCCAATCTTTTGTGAAAACCTGCTCGACTTTCCAAAGTTTGCATATTGTATCCTGGCTAACAAAATTATCCAGGAGAATTGATGTCGGTTCCATAATTCAGTGTCCGCCTATCGAAATTTGAATCTGGAAAAAGTCCCTGGGGAAGTCGAACGCGAAACGCATAAAAAATGCTGTTTTCCGGTCCTTGACTGGGCCTAAACTGCAGTTTTTGGCTCGTAAATCGTGCGTGGGGAAAAGCACTTATATGCACTTTCATTTCAATTCAAAATCGAAAAAAAACAGGGCCGTGTCTGGGGTTCTGTTTCTGTTTCCGTTTCGCTGTTGTGCAGTTTATTTTGCTTCCGCTTTCCGTTTGCATATCGACTATTGTTGCTTCTGGGTCTGGCTCCATAAATCCTGAATATGGGTTGGCTATTCTCGAAAGCAGCGCCTGAAAACTGGTCATAGAAATTACCATTTTAATGCAATTTTTGCCTTTGCATGTTGATTGATATCCTGTTGTAATTGTATCGAATTCCAAAGTGGATTATACTACGTCATTTCTATGAATAAATCGGGTTAACTATGTCATCATCCGAACAGTAGTAACTACAATATCTGATGTTATCAAACTGCATAAACGATGCACTTACTCTGTTTCAATTTGTTACAGTTTTTGTTACTCAGCCATAAATGTTTGAGCCCCAACACCAAAATCTTAAGCTCATGGTTTATTCCAGACTTTGGGTACCACCTTTTTCATGCTGCACACTTAGCCACAAGCCAACAATCCCACCAGAAGCAGAACCTTCCAAGTTAATGAAAAACCAGAAAAAGTAAACCAACAAAAACACAGAAGTACAAGACCCAGATCAGGAACAAGAAAAGGCCCTTTAAAATGCACAAAAATTCTGGGACAGAAGAAAAATATGCAAAGGGCAAAGGGTGTTTTGGAGGGCAAGTGCAATGGCTGCGCGTGCCATTTATTTGCCTTTGGCAGCAGGAGTATCCATTCGCCTGGCTTAAATATGCCATTAACAAAAGCTGCAAGATTAGAATAGTTACTCAGAGCTATGTGTATGGAAAATATATGGGGCACCGTTCGCAATCTAAATATAAATGCAGGGCGTGCGTCTGGACACGATCCGTCCATCCATCTAGTCCATTGAATAAGTTTGTTTACAATTAACCGAAGCGACAGCATTAAACAAAAACTATGTCGACGAGCGTATATAAACAAAAGGCCGACGTGCCAAGAAAATTGTATAGAAACATATGTACCGATTTCACGAAAGCTATTTTATTCAGTTGTTGGATTTAAGGTGTCTACAAAATCACCTTGCCAAAATTTCGTTGGCAAAATTTACAAATAAAATGTAAGAAAATAAACAGCGAAAACCAGCGAGTGGGTAAATACATTTTAGCTTTTTCTATTTATTGGCAGCTTATCTGGCAAAAAGTTCAATTAAAAGCAAAGTTTCTACATTACTTAGCCGTAAAAAAATATGTAGTCCTTGTTTAAGGGGAAAGGAACAATGCCTAACGCTTAGATAAGGGTCTTCAATTCCATTAAAACTTCCTCCCCATAAACATGTTTATTACAACATATTTATGTATTTGGGTTACCTATGATTTATGCCCAGCAACGATTTGATATGCATCTTGGCTTCCGCATTCGTTTTTCGCCTTTTGTATTCAGATATATTGGGGGAGTCCTTAACCGCGCCCTCTTATTCCGTTTTTTCCCTCAACCGCCGCGACCACATTGGATCTGTTAAGACGAACTAATTTCACCCGGACGCGGCTAATACATACGAATGACAGTCATTTAATTTCTATGAGTCATAAATTTTTATATTGCGCATACGCCGGGTGTGCAGGATAGAAGCTACAGTATCCTTGGGAGCATCACAGTCGGAGCGCTGAACAATTGCACCTAATTAGGTGAAATGGGATCCAAACTACAGGGCCAAATTGTTTTTAGTTAATCAAGGGAAGGAGCACAGCTTTGAAAGTCGAACTTTAACAAAAACGGAAACTTAAATTGAAATGTAAGATAGTTCCGTTCCAGTTCCTTTGTTTTACTTGAAAAAGTTGGCCCGAGCAAGAGTTGCGTTTGGCCAAACAAGACACGTCGTCAAATGATTTTGTTTGCCTGACACTTCAAGTGCCCAGAATACTTTGGGTGTGAGGTGGTTCGAACAAAACTGTCATCTCGCCACCCCTCCCTTTCTGGGGGCGTGGCAGGGATCATACCAAAGCCAATCACCACAAAACACCCGAGTAATGATACGGAACTTTTCAAGTGACTTTACCCCTCACTTCCGGCCTTCCATTCTTTCCCTTTACTTTCTTTCTTTCAGGTTTTGTTCGTCCTGGTGACAGGACATTGTGGACATTGGCAGCCTGGTTGTTGATTCAAATCACTTATTTGCAAAAATGCCTTGTATCTGCAAATGGCAAATGATTTAATCGACCAAGTTCGATGAATAGAGATAGACACTAGAGAATAGAGTCCACTAGTTTTGGAATGATTATGATCTATTGATTTTTCTGAATGAAATTTCTTGATTAAATCCTATTTCTGCGACTTTATACACTTTTCTGCATTTGGTAGATTGGCTTTCCGACCATGGCCATAACATAAACTACCATTTAGCCGAGTTGGAAGTGCGTCCACCAATATGCAATTAGCATTATTAGGTTTTGCAAAAACACGAAACCGCAACTCTTGCACTTCGCAAAGGTTGACTCTGAATTGTATTCTCCCTAAGGTTTGTCTCCCCAAGCATAGTATCTCAAAGTATGAGTAAGAGTAATGGCATTAAAGAAACCATCCCATTAATTAAATGCTCGCAAAGTGAAATAGACATTTTTAATAATTTCGCCGGAAGCTAGAAGTAGCTCTTGGGGTGGAAAATTTCTGATAACTATCCGCGCTTCGAATTAATTAAATGCCGAGCGACTTTTCTGTTTTTGATACGAAAAGCGTAAGTTGGATTAAGCTCTTAGCTTTTAGGATTTAATTTATCGTTTATGAATTCCTTGAAACATCTACCATTCAATTGGAAGTGATTTTGGGGATGTATTTTAAGATCCAGAACATCCTTAAATATTGGATTAAATTTTAAATTAAAATGTGAAATCTTCTTCAAGAAAGTTAAACCTGTTTTATAAATTAATGTATCTAAATCTGGGGTTAAAATCTCCATAGAATGGCTATCATTAAAATCAACAGACGGAAAATGAATCGCAGGAAAATTATTAAAATTGCATAAGCATTACAGAGTTCTGAGCATTTTTCATGAACAAATAAACGCCCCGCATTCCTCATTTATTTTTACACATTTAATGAGCCCAAGTAGGAGGAGAAGGACCTGGAGGTCCTGTGCACCGTTAGCACCTCATGTAAGCTGTCATGTAATTTAATATGAGGCGCCTCCTCCTGACACCGACACCGATACCGGCAACACCATAACGGGCCGGGATCCGATGGTAGCAAGGACACCCACAGCAACACCCAACCAATTAACTGGGGGCCATTGTGCACAAAATGGCCCGTGACGGGGCAAACTGCCGAAAGCCAGGCCAAAACTGGCAACTGGGAGCCAAGAGGAGTGAGAGACAAATTACAAAATGAAAATGATATACAGTGGGTCGCAGCTTATTTCGACCAGCCCCTTGAAAAAAATTTGAATCAGTATATCTGGTAAACTATATGAGGTATTAAAATAATTCAAATGCAGATTTTTAGTTTTACTTTTCAACAACAAATATATGTTTCTATTTAATTTTTAAGATTTTTTTTACATTTATTAATAATATTTAAAGAAAAATACCGCTGAAAATACCGCCGCAGCTTATTTCAACCAGTCAATTTTCAGCACTGCCATGATCCGTTATTTTCCAAGAAACTTTTTTTTTTTGTTACATCGGCTTACATTTGTTATTTACTAACTAGTTGTGTTGGATTTCATCAACTTTGTGCCTTTTTTTCCGCAATATATCAATTAAATCAAAATGGGACCCCGAACCTCTTTAGAGAAGAGAGAAGATGTGCTCCGTCACTTCAAAAACGGACTTTCTCGCCGGAAAATTGCGGAAATGGTTGCTCTTAGTGACTCTACAGTACAGAGTATTATTTACCGTTTTGTTCGCGAGAACAGAACGCATGACAAGGGCCGAAAAGCCCCAAACAAAATTTTTAATGAGACGGACGAGCGTTATATTGTCCGAAAAATCCGGGAAAACCCTAAACTTTCGGCTCCAAAAGTGGCTGCCCAAGTGGAGACAGAGCTGGGCAAGTCTTGCCACCCAGACACCATCCGACGAGTTCTGCACAGCCAGGGGTTTAATGGTCGAATTGCACGAAAGAAGCCTTTCATTAGTGCAAAAACCAGAAGGCAAGATTAAAATTCGCCATGGACCATATGAACAAGGACGAAACTTTTTGGCAGTCTGTAATATTCGCAGATGAGTCCAAATTTAATATTTTTGGCTCTGATGGAGCATCTTATGTCTGGCGTAAGCCAAACACAGAGCTCCATAATAAAAACCTAAAGGCGACTGTTAAACATGGCGGTGGCAGCGTCATGGTTTGGGCCTGTATGTCGTCAGCGGGAGTCGGGAAGCTGCATTTTATAGAGTCAACAATGGACAAGACCCAGTACCTCGACGTCTTGAAGAAAAATTTGGTCCAAAGTGCGGAGAAACTGGGAATCCAAGAGCAATTCCGGTTCTACCAAGACAATGACCCGAAACATAAGTCGGGCATTGTGCAGACTTGGCTAATATGGAATTGCCCCCACGTTATGCAACCTCCCGCCCAGTCACCGGATATGAACGTGATTGAAAATCTATGGGCAATATTGGACCAAAATATAAGGAAACGCCAGATAAAAAACAAAAAAGATCTGAAGAACGCTTTGGAGGAGGAGT